CCTCAACCAGTGCAGTAGGAGCTTGGACCAGGAAACAGGGCTGATCCTAAAGGAGCTATAATGCCTTTTTTAAGATTGTAGGGCTCCCCTGAAAAATATTTATTTTAAACCTAAACATCCAAAAGTACTCCACTGTAGCCCACAAATAAAAACACTCATCTGGAAATGAGCATAATAGAGCCACTTTAAAGAAAAAGGACCCACTGTGGTTCCATATATCACTATGCAGATGTGAAGCACTAAAGAGGAAACTATTTTAGTTATCATTTATGGAAATCTGCTTTTCGAGGATCCTTGGTATAGGAATTGTGAACTGTTTTATATGTACTGTATTTCTAGCCTTACAAAAACTGGCTGACAATATTTTATACTATAACATACTGTATGTGCCTTAAAACGATTGTGTCAAGGCTAAGAGGCCATTTGAAATTTCAAAGATTTGTGGCGAGAGACTCAGAGGTGGAGCAGTATTATGTGCATGTGGTTAACTGTGATGCAGAGTAAGTTTGTTGTAGGTTCAAGATGTGACACAGGACAGAAAAACGATAAAGCTCCGCTATTAGCGGTTGAACTGGCATAGTGGGTGTTCGATTCATGTTGGAGGCACAGGCTGAAACAGCATTTCCAGCTGGCAAAAACAATCTTACTGTGGTCTGTTGTCATGGAATATCAACAGAGATGTTATTTCTTAGTCGATCCTCACAACAGAATGAAGTTGACACAAACTGTGGACCTCACTCATTGTTATTTTTATCTGTTATCGTTATGTTTTTTCAAGGAAACCGTGGGTTTTGTGAAAAAACATGCATTGTTACTTGCTTTAGTGGAAATGGATGATATTGGTGCATTACACTGTTGGGAAATTTAACTAAATTCCATTTGTTGATTTAAAAGGGCACTCCAGTGATTTACTATTCCAGCTTCACCAGTTGGGAGGCCTGCAGAAGACACTAAATAACAGTGCATGCAGCAGTGGATGAAATATCTTTACTTTCAGTTTGGCTCAAGCTCCAGAAATGCATCAGCTATTATGCAACTCAGTAGCCTTTTAAAGTAAGCTCCATAGACTGTATATAAACAATGGATTTCAAAAGCAGCGTCAGTGTTAAGACATCTTAAATTTACATTCTTTGTAATGGCCAATAGAGGATCGACTTCTGTGGTTGTAAATGGACTTGAAGTCCAAAAGCACTTTTTACCACAAACCTCATTCACCCAATCAAAGCACTTTTACTGTTACTGTAGGCTCTGTATAATACTTACGTTCACACTCACACTCCGATGAATGCATCGGGAGCAACTTGAGCTTCAGTACCTTGCCAAAGGATTCTTCGGCATGCAAATTAGAGGAGCCAGGGATCCATTTGGTAGATGACCTGCTCTACCTCCTAAACCACAACCAGAGAAAATGTCCAGCTCATTTTGAGTATTGAGATTTATTTGTATTTCCCAGCTGGTTGCTGGCAGTTGCTGGGATATTATTGCTAAAGTCTGAATTGTGGAGATCTACAGATCAGTCAGTGACCCCCTGGCAACCACCTCTTGCTAAGAATCCTGTATTCCCCAGCTGATTAGCAAAAACCTCCTCCAAAAAAATGGAGGCTTACCTTCAAAGTTGCACGTTTTCAAACATGTTAGCTCTCCCTGGCAACCACTAGGACTCTCTGGCCCCTACTGGTCGCCAAGGGGTCCCCACATTTTTCTTTGGCCGTCGCTGAGGAAAAATGTGTATTTTGCAACTGGTTGGTAAAAAACTTGTTGATATACCTTTGGTCACTAGCAGATGGTCACAGTTACTCTTAGTTTGCATGGAATGAGCTGACTTGTCCACAAACACTGGCCAGCTAATCTCCGCAGGGAAGTGACACAAACTGGAAACAGAATGTTTTCCGTAAAAGTAGAAGTTGTGTCTTCTGCTTTTAGTTTGCAAGTGAATGTTCTCTGTTTCTAGTTTGCATCAGTGTTTGCAGAGAAGGAAGGCGCCGTCTTTCACGCAAACTACAACCAACGGCAGCAATCTGCTAGTGACCAACGCAATTGCGAGGTGGTTTCTGGTGCAGTGCCTTATTTGCAACCAGTTTTACTCAGCTACAGGAACCACTTGCCAACTAGGCAGGAAATATACATATTTCCCTCATAACCATTGGTTGCATCGCGTCCAATATTGTGGAAAACTCTGAAATCACACGAGGAACCTCAAGAACCCCACAAAGTCATTCTTACTTCTCAATCACTGATTTCAAGTCTTATTTAATACAGTGTGATTTTTTTTTTTAAATATGGCCCATCTTTCAAATTCACTTGATGAACAAGTTGGCCAAAATACTCAACTCGTAGATCAGGATCAAAGTCCAAAAACCTTGACATGTCCAAGTCCATCTTCTATATACAGTCTATGCTAGACTCCCCAGCCTACTAAATGCTGACAATAAAACTCCTCACTTTTTAACACAGGCTTTTTGATTTTCTCTCACGTGACAATGAGCCTCCACAGCCCCAAAAGATATTACAGTAGCTAAAGGACAAATCTGTGGAGTGTCCCTTTGAAGGAGTAACTGAAAGCCCCTCGTTGCATTTATAGTAAAGACCCAATTTTTATGAAAGATTCACCACTGTTGGGAACAACCCATTTTTCTTCTTATTAATGTCTGTTTTTGTTCTGTGTAATGGCACTAAGCTAACAGGTCTCCCATAACCTTATTTTCTACATCAGACCATGTGGCTGTAGTGAAAGGAATACATACCAATTATGCCTTATGAACTAACCTCATAAACAAATAATATTATTAGTTATTGTGAATCACGTTAATGTTGATAAATCCTGTCAGAGAGTTCGATTCCGCCCAGAGACATGTTATGAGGAGGTCATTTAAAATGGCAACTCAAGAGCCAATGGAAGCAGCTGATACATTTTAAAAGAGAAAGAAAGAAAGCGAAATCTCTGCTTTCAGATGTAGTGTCTTGAATTACATATACTTGACTTTTCTAGTACCTTTTCAGTTCAAAATTGTTATTTTCTATGAATGAGATGTGTATTTTGGAACTCTTAATAGATGTTGAAAATTTTAAAGCAATCTGCAAAAAATCAAGAGTTATTTCCCTGACAAAGATCGACTGTTTTATGTATATATTTGATGGCCATCGTTTTCAATGATAGTAGCTCTTTTGAAGTGTTGAAGCAATATCAAAGCTTTTTCTCTTTCCGGCGTGAAGAAGGGCCTATTGCTGAGAAATAATCAAAGCTGGGAGTTGTTGTTTTTTTTCTTCTTCTTTATGTTTTACAATAATCTGAAGGGTTATCCTGCAGAAATATTTATAGAAAGACTTTTTACAACACTTTTTGTATAGAATATGCAACAAAGTTACACTAAGAAGGAAATATTGATGTCTACATAGAATATTATTAAAAAGAAAAAAAAGCTGGTACATAATTAATAACCTTTCTCAATTATAAGCCATTGTATTTTTTTTTCTGTGTTTTTGATTTATTGATGTTATCAGAGTTGAATAACCCATTATTCAGTTGCTATGTGACTAATTATGAGCTGCCATATGCATCCATACAGCCACGTGTATTCATTTTGTAAACGATATTATGAAAATATAATGTGTTAACATGCAGAAAAGTATGTTTTTATTAATTAGTGACGGATACTCACCACTGTATAAACGCATTAAACTGTGAGATGTAGTTTGGTTAAAGCAGCGATAACAAGAAACTATTATAAAATGTTATATTGGTAGTGTAGCGAGTGTATACTTCTGTCAAGGAAGCGTGTGTGACAAAGAACTATTTTAGAGTTTGCATGTGCATGTGTTTTGAATGAAATATCCCCTTTTTTGTGCAATGTATACCTATTTAAATACCTTACAGTAGTTTGCTAAAGTAAATATTGTTTTTAACATTATCAGCAACGTCTGATTGTTATTAGTCCTCATTTACCGCAAATGTAGCCTCTGCAGATAATACATATTTACTGAATGTAACATGTTAACACTTAAGTGGTCGAATCAGAGAGTCTCGTTTGTATTCTTTACTGTCTGTATCACTTCAGATGTTTGTCATGCAGTATTGCAATAATGTAATATTTGATTTGGACAGAACGCAGGCGTGCGGTCGGGAAAGACAATGATTATGGGAAAAGCAAGGACAGTCGTGGCCACGAGAGTCGACCACAGGTCTGTTTTTCATGTCCATGAAAACGGCATTCCAAAATGTGCCTTATTTGTTAGTTGGGAAAACATTTTAGTGCTGTTCAGAGTTTGATGAATAAAAGTCACATTGAATTAAAGCCACCCGGGTTGTGCAGTTTTCATTTGTTTTCGGGTCCTGTGCCAAATTTATGTTAACTGGGAGGTGTTCGTTCTGGTGTCTGATTTCAGCCAAAAGCAACACGTTGTTTTTGTGAGCGCTCCTCTTGTTAGTGTTTTTGCCATCGCTCTTGAGTGCGAGGCTTACGCAACACTGAGCGTATAGATTACGATAACGGGGCTTTTAATGGATTATTCATGGTGGTTGTGTAACGCAGAAGAGCGAGAGACTTGGAAAACATTTTTTTTCCACTTGCCATGAAAGTGCTGAGAGATAACAGACATGTAAACCGGCCAGGACGCACACTCCCTCCCCCATTTCCCAACACTTGTGGACAGGAAAACCCCCCCCCACAAAAAGATGCCCACTGACTCTGTGATAACGCAGACACTTAGAGAAGCAGCAGCATGCACCAGCTGTAAAGATGTCATTGTTTTGCATGTGTGGTAAAAAGAAATTGCAGTCGTCTCCGGAGCCAAGTTTCCATACACATTATTGGACATGCATTCCAAATAACTAAAACTAAACCCGAGGGTGGGGACCCAAATTATATCAAGTTTGTTACAACATCTCCAGCTCAAACAGAGCGAGAGCCGAAAAATCTCTATGGCAACAATGTAATCTGAGAATTCAAATAAACGGAGGAAGGTCAGCGCACATATGGTTTCATTTAGGGGCAAGAGCTGCCTTTTTCTTCTTCATTATTTACTTTTATAAAGTATTAGCTCGATAAGCAGCACCACCCAGTCTCTGGCTTTCAGACATGTCTCTCGCCCTCTTCAAGACGCCCTGCGTCTCAATAAAAAAGCAATTTCAGGTCCTGAAACGACTTCACCCTAAGAGGCTCTAGCTCACATGCCCATCGTGCATACATGTGATGCTTCAGCTGCAGTGTAGGTGGAATGTCACATGATGTCACATCCTGCTCTTGATGGACAGGAAGTCAGTCGCGCTGGAGCCCGTGTCTAAAAAAAGCACGCTGGATCGTTTCCGGGAAGCTTTAAAAGCAGCAAGATTTGTGGCACATCAGAGCAAATGTCTTGCAGTAAGACCAGAGCTGGTAAAGTCGAAAAATATCAGTCATGTATTTGGCAGTTATTGGAGAATGAGTCACCACACAATTGTTTTACATGCTTGCATACAATTTAGATCAGTTGAGTAAAGATTTTAGAGAGTAAAAAGGTCTGTCTGAGCGTTAGAAACCTCTGGCTTTGCTCAACCTCAAAACCAGAAGTTAAAAAGCACAAATTTGAGTAAAAGCTGATCACCTGCGACAGCCCCGCCTTCAGAGTGCACGAACACACGAGCCAGGACAGAGTAAATACTAGATTGCTGCACAATGACTCATCCAGCAAAAGTCTGTGAGTGCGCTCGGGCGTCATTTGATCTCCCCGCAGTCTGTGATGACAATTTTTTTGATCACACCGCCGTCGTGTAAACCAAAGGATTCCATCTTGGAGACCACATCCATCCCATCCTTCACCTGCCCGAACACCACGTGTTTACCATCAAGCCTGCCCAAAAAGAAAGACAAGAAAACGAAAAAGAAAAGATGAAAAAGTGACTCCAGCAGCTTGTGATTGATGAGGCACGAACTGGAGTCTGAAATGACTGATTAAAAAGTTCTACGGGGTGTTTACCACTCGGTTTTCGTTGTGCAGATGAAGAACTGCGAGCCGTTGCTGTTCGGGCCTGAATTTGCCATTGAAAGCGTTCCTGCAGAAAACCATAGAAGAAGAAGAAGAAGAAAAAGCAATCAATTGAACTAGATGATGTAAACAAGATCTTCATGTCCTTTTTACTCCTGATCCAAGGACATTTAGGCCTCATTACAGCAACGTCATGCAAGATTGTAAAAAAGAAAAGAAAAAAAAAGGGCCTCTTCTCTTGTGATCTGACGCACGCTGTGTTTACGCAAAGCACTAAATAATGTGCACATGGATGATGTTTATTCAACAAACAGAGTTATTTTGATTAGTGCATGTTGACTCACTAAACTAGGTCATTCACATGAGGATTGCAAAATGTATATGCCCAGCAGTTTGAACGCTGCATGAGATTCTGCACTGCCATCTAGTGGAGGAAAAGTGGGATTAAAATGCAGAAGAACAGCTGGCACATAACACCTGGAAGTTCAGTTTTGGTGCAATTTTCACTTCTCCTAATGAAGTTCTCTAATCAGTAAGACCTTCCCCCACCTATATTGTTTCTTTGCACACAGCTCCATACTTCACTGCTAAAGATACTTTTATCACTGTGTTGATGTCCTTCTCACCTGAATTTCATCAAAACAGTTTAGACTTTTGTAAGAACTCAAACTTTTTCACTTTCCTGAACACTGTCCAGCAGCACGTTAGTGTTTTTAGTTAAATTACTTCTGTAAACTCTAGAGATCTTTAGGAGGGAAAATCCCAGCAGATCAGCAGTTTCTGAAATACTCGGACCAGCCCATCTGGCACGAACACCCATGCCACATTCAATCACCTTTCTTCCCCATTCTGATGCCTGGTTTGAACTTCAGCAGGCTACAAGCCTAAAATGCTTTGAGTTGCTGACATGTGATTGGCTGATTAGTTGTTTCAAATAAATCCTTCACATTTCATTTTTGTGTCTGAGGCCACCGTAGGCCTACAGTTTTGCAATACTCCTTCCAAAGTCAGTGCGGGGTTTGATAACAGTATAAAACCACTTGGTGTCTAAGTCTTAAAACAGTGGTGAAAGGGTTTGTATTCACTGATCACAGAGTTGAAGTGACTGAGTGATGTTGCATGTTTTGAATATGTGAAAAGGGTTTTTATTGTTTTAGTGTAACCCCTCAAAGCTGTGGAGCTGTACCTGGACCAGTGTGCTTTAACTTGAAGTTTTCATCTTTAAACGTTTTCCCATAAATAGATTTCCCTCCTGTACCGTTGTGGTTGGTAAAATCTCCTCCCTGCAAGAGAAAAAACAACAGCAGAAAACATGCCAAATGACACTGCACCTTCACTGTAAACTGTACCTGACACATGAACTCGGGGATGACCCTGTGAAACACAGATCCCTTGTATCCAAAGCCATGCTCCCCGGTGCACAGAGCCCTGAAGTTTTCTGTGGATCGAAAGGATTTTTTAAATGAATGACGATGAGCCCATCGTGGAAAGAACGTGGCTTCACCTACCTGCAGTCTTTGGCACCACATCTGCATTCAGCTGCAAGATAAAACAAATCACATGCACTTATCTGCACAGGTCTGGCTACTGACAGATATGAACGCTACAGGTCAGATCAAGGTCTCTGGAGGCGACTGTGATAATAGCAAGCTACCTCAATGATTATTCTCCCCAGAGGATCGCTGTCAGCGTCGATGTCCAAAAATACTACCGGGTTCTCGACGGGGCCGGGAGAAAACAGGCGCGCTGCAGTGATGCCCAGCGAGCTGTACCTCATACGATTTTTTATTTGAAGCATAGCTGCTTAGCTCACACGGTGAGGCGGACCTGCAAACCATGGCCCTTTCTCAATTCTCAAGTACGCGAGTTCTCGCGTTCTCCGCACGAGAGTACGTACTTGCCGAGAATGCGAGTACGGACCCGCGATTTGGTTTTTGTTTTTTTAATACGCTTTATTGACAAAGCACAAAATACAGATACAAATTAACAAAACACAATGTCAGGGGGTTTCGTATAAAAAAACTAAATACATACAGTCTAAAATGGTCAATGGCCTGTATTTGTATAGCGCTTTACGCAAAAAGTTCCCGTAAAGCGCTATACAAAGTCTAGTAAAGAATCACATAATATTGAACAGGGAACATAGGTCTCCACAGCTTTTACATTTTGAGAATGTTGTTTGGTTTTAACATATTTTGTTTTGTTTAAGAAGCACTGAAAGGATGGTTTCGATTTATGTATATGAAATTTAGCCAGTAATATCAGTAAATTAATCAAATAAAATACGTTTGCCCTGTGCATGGGGTACTTAAAGTATATTCGTGTATAAGCAGGACCAAAACGGACTCGAGATTTGTACAGCAACACCAGCGTACTTGATGATGTCACACGTCCGGAGTTTTTACTGCCTCTGTGATTAATATGTTATGAAGCTTAACTTTAATCTCAGCCAAATCGATGTACTCAGGAATAAATAAAACACTGAAGCAAACCAAACATTAAGATTTATAAGTTATCTAAGTGACTTATTATCATGTTTAACCTCTGTAGCGAAATCTCTCTATTAATAAAAATAGTGTACATGTACGCCTGAATAAAAACAAACAGGTGGGATGCTAGAACTCGTTTATTTTTATTTGAGCAGATACTCAAAAATTACAGCAGACAGCTGCTGGGGTTTGGAAGAGAACTGAACAAATACTTAAAATATAATCTGATCATTTTTGAAGCAGCCTTCAGAATCTCCACATATTAACATGCTGTTTTTGTTTCCGGTGAAAAACAAACTGATAATTTAATGTTGGATTTAATTCAGAGTCAGCTAATCCCAGCCAAACCGATTTAATCCGGAACAAATAAAACACTGAAATAAACCAAGCATTCAAATTTAATGAACACATGCGCCGACTGATGACGTATCACGAGTCAACGAGAACGCAAGTACGCACAAGTTAGAGAAATTTTTTTTATGAGAAATTTGTTAATACTTTTAGCTAAATTTTTTATCCATAAATGTAAGTTTACTAACAAAACACAATATTTCTGTCATTATTTTAAGGATGTGGAAATGTACATACAATCAATATCAGACTCCACCAACAAAAAGGCTCTCAAAACAATTTATGTATGTGAATTTTTGCGTGTATTCTTATAATTGTTACCTTTTTCTTTTACCCCTGGCTTTGTGTGTTCATGTTCTGTTGTTTTGTATACTTCATCTGTTCGTATGTTGTATACTCATTGTTTGTTAAATAAAGTTTATTTAAAAAAAAAAAAAAAGCAAGTACGCGCAAGAAAATGTGACGTCATTTCCGGGCTAAAACCGCAAAGGATTGTAGGTACAAGCGGCTAGCGCGCGTGGGCTATTACAAGACAACAGTCACACAGACAAACAGAGACACAAATGGCAAGAAGCTGTTGTGTTATTAACTGCCATAGCCGGTCGCATGACAGCCACGGGAAGCCGAAGGCTAAAGGAATCGGTTTTTATCGGATTCCTGCGTGGAATAAAAATTATGCAAGAGATGTTTCCGAAGTCACGAAGAGGCAACGGATGGCCTGGATTGCAGCTATTGGAAGACCAAATATAACGTTCCAGAACACTCCACCTCACATGTTAGTCTGCTCCAAGCATTTCCTCAAAGGTGAGTGTGTATGTGTTGTAGTTAAGTCATTTATCATAACATTATTGTTGATGTAGGTTACAGATAAGTCTTATATTGATTTGAATTAAATTCTTTGCGCTATGCTGCTTTGTTCACTGTGGCTTTGCGGGCTAATGTTTGTTGTATTTTGTAGGCAAACCAGCCTACAAAATGATGGAAAGCGATCCAGACTGGGCACCCTCTATCCATCTGGGTCATACTGAGTTGAAAGCTGCTACGACAGCAAAATTTGATGGGAGAGCAAGATCAAAGCAGCCACCACAAGTCTCGCATTCCTCTGGGCCAGAGACGGATAATCCAGGCGAAATCCACGCAGGTAAAATTATTATTTTCCATAAAAATCTTGTACTTTTCCCACTAGGGTTGCCACGATTAGTCGACTAGTCACTATTAGGTATAAATCGTTGATGACTGATTTAATAGTCGACGCCTGGTTTGAAGCTTTGTAAGGTCACAACAGATGCAGGAATAAGTAGTAGGATTTAGGAGGGTTATAACGGACTGAAACAGAAGATGGCAGCACTGCATGTACAAGGATGCCAGCTACCGTTAAACCCCGAAGAAGAAGAAGTAGCTCTGTCCCAGAATTCATAGCGCAGCCCAGCTCAGTTTCCAACATTGGCGGCAGCTAGTTCAGAATCAGATCAGAATAGTGTTTATTGGCCAAGTATATGTGCAGACACATACAAGGAATTTGGTTCCGGTAGATGGTGGCTCTCAAGCACAGCAATGTAAATCACACAAACACGTGTCTATATATACATTACACATGCGTACACATACATACACAAAGCTGTGTAAACCAACTATAAATAACTAATCTAAACTTATATACATAAAATACAGAAATGAATGAGGTGGAATGAATACTACAGAATGTTCCTAAGGTGCAGTTGCAGTCTGGCAGTGGGAGCAGTGTGACAGGTCAACTGTTTAGAAGGGAGATGGCGAGGGGAAAGAAACTGTTCCTATGTCGGGTGGTCCTGGTCTGCAGGCTTCTGTACCATCTGTCAGAGGGCAGCAGATCAAAAAGTCTGTGTCCAGGGTGTGAGGGGTCTGTGATGATTTTCCCTGCCCGTTTCCTGGTTCTTGAGAGGTACAGATCCTGGATGGAGGGCAGGGGGGCGCCGATGATCCTTTCTGCTGCCCGTACAGTCCGCTGCAGTCTGCTCCTGTCCTGTTTAGTGGCTACACCATACCAGACTGATGGAGGAGCACAGGACAGACTCAATGACCGCAGTGTAGAACTGGATTAGCAGCTCCTGTGGAAGACTGTACTTCCCCAGTTGTCTCAGGAAGTACATCCTCTGCTGGGTCTTTTTGAGGATGGAGGAGATGTTGGTCTCCCACTTCAGGTCCTGGGAGATGGTGGTACCCAGGAACTTGAAGATCTCCACAGTCAACACCGAGCTGTCTGATATGGTGAGGGGGGGCAGAGTTGAGGGATGTCTCCTGAAGTCCACTGTCATCTCTACAGTTTTAAGAGTGTTCAACTCCAGATTGTGCTGACTGCACCAGAGTACCAGCCGCTAAACTTCCTGCCGGTATGCAGACTCATCACCATTCTGAATGAGGCCAATGACGGTGGTGTCATCTGCAAACTTTAGGAGTTTAACAGCCGAGTTGGAGGTGCAGTCATTAGTGTAGAGGGAGAACAGTAGTATTGGTGCCCCTAAAGGACACATCCTTTAGGGGCACCAATACTGAGGGACCGAGTTTCAGAAGTGATCTCCTCCAGCCTCACTTGTTGCTTTCTATCTGTCAGGAAGCTGGTGATCCATTGACAGGTAGCTGGTGACACTCAGGGCGACAGGTCTGTAGTCATTCAGTCCTGTGATGGTGGGTTTCTTGGGAACAGGGATGATGGTGGAGCGTTTGAAGCAGGAGGGAACTTCACACAGCTCCAGGGATCTGTTGAAGATGCGAGTAAAGATGGGAGCCAGCTGTTCAACACAGGTTTTGAGGCAGGAGGGTGAGACGCCGTCTGGTCCGGGGGTTTTCCTGGGCTTCTTTTTCTGAAATAGTCAGCTCACATCCTGAGTGTGTATTCTGAGTTTCAGGGAGGAGGAAAGGGGGGTGAGAGGTGCGGTGGAGGTCGTTGAGTCTGGATTGGAGAGGGTGGTGGTGGTTGTTGAATCTGGATTGGGGAGGGTGAAGGGGGGAGAGGTGGAAGGTGTGTTGGGGGTCAATGTCTGAAGCAATGTCTCTGGGGAGGAGAGGCTCACTAGAGCTGTGAGAACACCGGACTCTTGGCAAATTGTTTTCAAACCCACCGCCGTCTTTCGCTACTCAGACATAAGTCACTTAGATAACTTAAAAATATTATTGTTTGTTTGATTTTTTTAGTATTTTATTTGTTCCTGAGAAAATCGGTTTGGCTGAGATTAAAGTTATAGTTTTTGCACAGCTGAATAAACGTCAAGCAGACAGCTGATTATCAGAAGTGTGAGATGCTCGAGAATATACTCCGGTGTCCCGTTATATTTTAGATAGCAAGGAGCAGACGGCTGAGTTTATTAAACTTCACCGAAACAATCTGCAAATTTTATTTAAAATTTAATAAACTATCATCTTGTCTTTATTTTTAGTTAGCACATACCTTAAACACTCAAAGCTGTAAGCTAATGATAGTTATATAAGATCAGATGCATGCTGGTGCAATAAGCTGTACGTTTTACGTCCAATGGATGATGATCTGATTAGTCGACTAATCGCAAAAATAATCGGTGACTAGTCGACTATCAAAATAATCGTTTGTGGCAGCCCTAATTCCCACTGTGTTTACCTGTGTTTAGCTCAACTGTTTTGCTCTTTGGCAACTGCGGATAGTTCAGTTCAAAGTTACAAGTCACTGTTTTTGCTGTCTATGCTTTACTTAGATTTTTCATCACAGTCATTTGTTTTAAAAGTATTTATTTTAAAACTGTATGGGTCAAAGGGCCAAGTTAAGTTTTAAATGCCAACGTAGAAATGTGGCTGTTTGATTTACAGAATTTGACTTCTAAACAAAGTAATTAAATCGTGTGGACAAGCGCAGTAAGTGACCCCGAGAGGAAACAAATCTATTCATAGAAATTACGTTTTTATTATTATTATTATTAAATTTAAAATTTATTTAATTATTACGATAAAGTAGTAGGGCAAAAGGGGAAAAAACAGTATTCGTCATTTTTAGAATAAAGTCGAAATACTAATTTTATAATAAAAATGAAATAATATTTTGAGAAACAACATTACTTCATTTGTTTCAAGAACTATGAACCAGTAAGTACTGCTCCTTCGTTCCTGTTTTAAATGCAGCAACAGTTCAATTTCCAGTGATCTTACATTTTGACATTTGTAATTGATTACAAATAAATAAACAAACATTTGTATGAACAGAGCCTTTGCACTTTGCGCTACGTCATATCAGCAAGCAGGAAGTACTGCTCGCTCACTTCCTGTTTGAGGAACCATGACCGCCAGGAGAGATAAATTTGTGCTTCAGAAGCAAGAAAAACAATATTGCGACCATTGTTGTCTGCCTAAGTGCACAGGGAAGTAGACACCGCAAGTAGACACCTTTCGCGCATGCGGGGTACCAATCGGGTTTCCGGTACGGATCAGGTCGCGGTGGGCCACGCTATGAATTCTGGGACACAGAAAGAATAATAAGACTAACAGCTTAACGGCAGCTGGCATTCTTGTACATGCAGTGCTGCCATCTTCTGTTTCAGTCCGTTATTACACTCTTAAATCCTGCTACTTATTCCTGCGTCTTTTGTGATCTTACAAAGCTTCAAACGACGCGTCGACTATTAAATTAGTCGTCGAGGATTTTGATGGTCGACGTAATCGTGACTAGTCGACTAATCGTGGCAGCCCTAACTGACAGTAGACACTGATGTGGCTTATTGAATCTTTTGGACTGTGTTCAGCATAATATTAATTAGCCATTAATTGGAAAAGGTGTATTGTTGATGTGTCTGCTATTCTCAATGTATAATGAATTTTACAGTGGCTGTTTGTTAGCCATACTCTCTCTCTCCCACTATATAAAATATATAGTGTATTATATATTTTTGTGTTTGTTGTATTTTATTTGTATTTGTTGTATTCTTCTTCTGCTAGCTGCACAAATTTCCCCACCGTGGGATCAATAAAGTTTTATGTTTTATCTTATCTTAAATATTTATCTGGTTAAATTCAGTATGGTTCCGACAACAGTTTTCACAATAACATATATTAATGTACAATCCTTAATATGTTTTGTAGGTAACCCAGCATCAGGTGAGCAGCCTATGGAGTATAATTCTGCCTTGGATCATGACTATTTCTGTGACCCAGAACCTGCTTGCCTTGATGTGACAGTAGAGCAAAACATGAAGTTAAAAGAAGAAATGGGAACGTTAAGGAAAGAGATCCAGGAGCTCAAAATGCAGTCTGCTTTTGGATTACAAAGATTTGCCGGATCCGATGATGACATTCAGTTCTACACAGGGTAAACCTACAACACTTAGCTAGACATGTTACACAAAAATACCAGTTTGATTGTGAGCAATATTGTAAATGACCTGTAATTACTGTGTTTTTTTTTTACAATAGGTTTGCAAGTTACCGTCACTTCATGATGTTTTGGGGGCTGATTGAGCCCTCTGTCCACAAAGTGATTTACAGGTCAAGGTCCGAAGCTACTGAAAGAAGGAGTGAAGCCATAAATGCATCACACACGGTTTGTATTTGTGCATTAAAGATTTTGAGGAAAAAACAAACAGGAAATACATGTCAAACCTTTTTATTGTAAACTGGAATTATATAAAAGTATCATATGCACGTGGTACTGCTTACATTAACATCAGTCAGGCACAACTTTATGACCACCTGCCTGATTATTTTGTTGGTCCCCCTTTTTGCAACCAAAACAGCTCTAACATGTCGAGGCATGGACTCCAGTAGACCCCTAAAGATGTGCTGTAGTATCTGGCACAAGTCCGGTAAGTGGTGAGGTTGAGCCTCCATGGATCGGACTTGTTCCTTCAGCTCATCCCACAGATGCTCAATTGAATTGGGGAGTTTGTGCTCCATGTCAACACCTCAAACGTGTTCCTCAAACCATTACTGAACCTTTTTTGCTTTGTTGCAAAGCTAAAAGAGAAGAAAAAGGTGTATATGGTCTAAAATAATGCTTAGGTAGGTGGATCTGGTGCTTGGAGCTCCCTAGGGTAAGTGACACACTTGCACCTGGCTGTGCTTGTGATATAAAAGAAAACGTGATTCATCAGATCAGACCACCTTCTTCCATTGGTGGTCCAGATCTGATGCTCACGTACCCATTGTTGCTGCTTTCGGCGGTGGACAGGGGTCGGCATGGGCACCCAGACTCGTCCGCAACTATTTAGCCCTAAGTCCAACAAACTGTACTGTGTATTCTGACACCTTTCTGTCAGGACCAGCATTAACTTTTTTTGGCAATTTGAGCTACAGTGGCTCATCTGTTCGCTCATGACCTTGTCGGTGCTTCCTTGGACCACTTTTGATAGATACTGGTCACTGCAGACCAGGAACACGCCACTAGAGCCCTTCTCAAACTCACTCAAATCCTTACACTTGCCCATTTTTCCTGTTTCTAACAATAACTTTGAAGACAAAATGTTCATTTGCTCCCTAATACATCCCACCTACTAACAAGTGCCATGGTGAATAGGAAATCAGTGTTATTCACATCATCTGTTATGTCTGATCAGTGTAATTAGTTTTATAAACATGTTGTATGACTTTTTTTCTTTTTCAGAGGCAGTCATTGCAACCCATTGATGAGCTGTTCCTATTCCAAATGTGCCTGGCTGCTGGTCTTGAGGAGAGAGACTTGGCAGACCGGTTTGGCATTCACCCCTTGACTGTAAGCGGCATTATCTCTTCATGGACCAACTACTTGTACACTCTCTTGGGTTCTGTGTGTATCTGGATTGATGCTGAGGACATTAAAGCTCACCTCCCTGATGACTTCAAAGACTTTCCCGATACTCAGGTGATAGTTACTTGCACTGAGCTAAAATGCCAAACCGCATCCTCCACTCTCCCCCAACGTGAAATGTTCTCCCCGTCTCACTGCACAATGAAAGGTCTGATTGGGATGGCCCCCCATGGCGCAGTGACCTTTGTTTCTTCACTCTATCAGGGGTCGATAAGTGACGAAGAACTCTTTAGGAGATCAGGTTTGGCTGACCTTCTTACAGAAGACATGGCCATAGTGGTTGACGAAGGATTCCTCATGTCTGACTGTGTGGATTGGAAGGTCTACTGTCCAGCTTTTCTTAGCCAAAATAGCCAGATGCTAGCACACAGCGGCTTCCAGAGACAGGAAATTGAACGACTCAGCGCACATGTGGAGAGTGTAATCCGAAGGGTTAAGGAAAACAAACTGCTTGACTCGGTTATACCGCTATCGATTGCTGGAAGCATTAAGGAAATTTTTACTGTGGCTTGCTTGCTAATTAATTACCAAAATAAACCTCTTGTCAAGGCACGGGCTAAGTAACGCACATGAATATAGACTTCACTTTACCGCGCAGACAGAAAGTAACTGGGTAGGTAAATTTTGAACATAAGCAAGTTGTATATTTCTATAAATAAGGAATTTTTATTTCCTTGTTCTGAATGTTTTCTGAAATGTAGACAATGTCAACAGATGTAGAGTCACAGCAGAATGTTATGAACTGATGTCATGATGTATAAATTTCATGAATAAATCTGAGTTGTTCCCAAACAGTCACTGAATATAATTTTAAATTATTTTAAAATGCATTAATTTAAATAAAATTAATTAACACGAATTTACACTCTAATGTTGAATTGGATTTAGTTTTTAAAATCCTTTCATGTGTGCATCTTTTCTTTGTTTTTAAATTCAAGCTATATTCAGGTAGTCTTGAGCCACCTCATTTCTCTGCATTTTTTGTCCAAGATGCAAGATTCTTTTGTAATTATTTTTTTTTAAAGGGCAGTCGTTCTTTCGAAGTTTTTCTTTGGATGATTTTTCACTCATTTTCAGGCCTTATTTCTGGCCTTTTCCCCCCCCATTAAAAAAACCCCCCAAAACATGTAATGCTGACCTATGAATCGTTCAAGGATTTAAAAAGACACCTAATTAAAGGGGCGAACTAGTGCTGTCTACACATAACAGACAAAATACCGGTAGTAAAGAGCCCATTTTATATTGTAGCTTTAGGCCCTGATACTAACAGCCTGAATCTATCTGCAGCTGAACAGTATCTGAAAGTGGTGTCCTTAAAAAACGGGAAAAAATCCATGACGTAAGAGACCGAGAAAGCCATACAAAAATTGTTTGCTTCAAATTCATGTGGTTCTGCAAGCTACTGAGTCATGGAGTGTTCTTTCTTTTTCACTCAGCTGTACATAATATATAAATAGTTTAAACTGACTATATTTAGAACAGTAGCATCACACTATCACTAACAAAGCATGAAGGTCAGAGTTGAGCTGGACATGGGTTGTAAAGGCGCCTGCTGTGCATAGCAACTTGTAAACAGGCTAAAGAAGCTTAAATGTATGGAGTTTACCAACTGGACATGTCCATGTGTATCAGTGGAGCGTTCAGCTGAGGAAGTGAGCTGTGAGACGGTGAATGATTTCGACTTTGTGGTCTGCATTTCAATGTTCGGGCTGGATCAGGTAACCCTGAATCTTCTCTTAATTATGTTTTATTATGTTATGTTATAATAGGCCTAGCTGCCGAGGGCTTTCCATGGCTCACTATGTGCTTACACACCACTTTGCATTTAGTTACTAGATATTAGTAATCTCTGACTGTCTTCCAGTTTGTCCTGTCTTCCTCTAATTAACTCCAACTCATTGCGTCACATGACTGCCCCTCCCTGTGGTTGTTCCGCCAGAGGTTTCTTTGTGTTAAAAGCATTTTGAGGCGACTGCTCTGTGATTTTTGCACTACATGTAAATACAAGTGAACTGAATTTTTTTATTGTTCCATGGAACATGTTGGACAAGTCGAGCCCAAAATACACAGAAGGCCGCCAACTGTGTTTCATCTGAATACATATTTATTAGATAAATATTAGGATGTCACATCATCTAACTACATACAGATTTGCAAGACTAAAAATCACAATGTTCTTCTGACCAGTTTAGAATATGAAATGATTGTACATAGAATGTACAAAACCAAATAGACAACTGCCACTTGTGCCAATCACTTCAGATTGTACCTTTATAGCATAAGTTTTGCCAAATTGCATAAAAATTATAAATTTGACAAAATGTTTTACAAACTGTAAATTTTGGAAACAACCCTCGAGAGCCTTCTCGAAGCTCGATGTCTCCCGAGTCCCAATTATACCTCAAAAGGTCGGAATAATTTCGTAGCACCTTTATAAAGTACACAGGTAATAACGAAATACACAGAATTTTCATATTACACAAGAGGAAAAATGTCTTTTCTTTTTCTTGAACCCCTTGTCGAAGGGGTTCATAAAGTATCTTACATAAATGAACAGGCATGGTTAGAGAGGTCTGCACAGACATAATCAAACACAGACTCATTTTCCCAATTCAATGTCTGACAGGAGGATGCAAGCTTTACAAATTCTAAATACACTATGCACACTCCCACTGGAGAAAATGAATACATTTCTGTTAACGTGTCTCTATTTGTCATTTACATTATGTACAAATATCCCTTATATCCCAAACCCGTCCCCCAATCCTTACTGGGGGTCTTTCCCGAATTTCATTTTACAATATTAATCGTCTTCTCCTTTAAATCCTCAACTAGTACAAAGTGTGTCGCGAAAATTACTCGATTTTTGTGAAAGGTTACAGTCATAATTACACACTGTGTAGGGAAATAAAACATCCCAATGCGGCAGTGCATTGTCTTTAACAAACATATAAACAAACACAAAACAACATTTGACTCTTTCAGCTGTGTTGTATGGAGGCCATGTGATTACTCTTGAAGCCAAAATGCGGTTCTTGAAAAAGGATCATAAAGCCTAAATATGGGCGACTTTTTTTTTTTTTTTTACCAATGACATACAGTTTATTTCATATTCATTGTCTTTACTGCATAAACTGATGTAAACCAAATTTTACTCTCATACAAACACTGGACAAAAATAACTTAAAATGCAAAACAAAAGTGATGGAAACACACAGATCGATGGCTATGAAAAGCTCAGTATCACACCTCAAAACCATCCAGAGGACTTTTTTTTTGCACATTCTCACCTTAAATAAAGAAGATGAGGATCCAATAATATTGAACAAATACGTTTTGGAGAAATTTGGACCTCAGAGCTGCATTAACAACCTTTTATATGTTTCTTCCCGCTGATTCAAAGTCACAGAGTAATGGAAAAAACTGTACACAATACACAGGTACTTAATACAAAGCCAGTGAGAGTGCATTTAAATCAATTCCTTACAATGTTGGACTGTTTATTGGGGACTGTGTGTATTTAATGTGTGTGAGCTGTCACCGACAGACACGCAGTACCATGTAGATGCCAGTAATAGTTAGGTACAGTACTGTACATTCACAATGTATTCACAAAGGGTATATACAACAGCTCTGGAAACACTGTCGGGTCATGCAGGTTGTTTTTTTTCTTCCCCCTCCCAAACAGTAATAAAACAACAAAAGATCAGTACAGTCACACAGATTTTTTTTCTGTGTGTGTGTGTGTTTGATTTTTTTTTTTATAAAACAGTGATTTTAAAAACTTCTGTGGATGTCTGTGGGATGCTGAAATCCTGCTGTTACACCAACACACAGTAATATCCAGACTCAACCCCTTACAAAAAGCACAGGACAGCTGCGGTGACTGATTCGTGTCAATGAGGGGAAAGGGAGCAGGAGGTTGAACGAAGAAAACACAAAGACGCTGACAAAGAACAAAAACCCCCCGATGAATTTACAATAAAATAATAAATATAAAGACTAGAAAGATAATGATTTGATCAAGCACATCTAGGCTGGACAAAAGACAACAGGAGCCGTTGGCACACATGCACTTGTGATGGAAACGGTGCTGAATTCGATGAGAAGTGAAACGTCACAATAAATACACAGGTGCTGAGAAAGCTCTTTAAGCTAGATTGTCCCCTCCCTCCCCCCTCCTCTTCTGTCTCAAACTTTCTCTCTCCCGCTGTTTTCCACGTACGCTCGCAGGCAAACGAAAGAGGACGCGGAAACACACTCGCAGTCGGGCACACACACACACACACACACACACACACCACATTTCACACTATGTGCACTCGCCTCCTCCGCTGACACTCAAGGACGATTGAGTTTGTCCTCTCAGTGCACTGATTCTGATGAGTTCCAGTTATTTAACCACCTCACGCACACACAGACACACACATTCAGAAGTCTAGGGAGGTGGGGGGGTGGCAAGGTCAAAGGGCATGGCATACGCCAAAGTTTTGGAAGAACACATTTCAAGGGTAAAAACACTCTTACAAGACAATGTCTTTGCCGCCGACTCTCGTCCTTTTTTTTTTTAAATGAAAATTATAGATATTTATATAAACAACAAAGCTACAACACTTTTCCTGGAGCCCACAACGGCTCCTGTCTCCTCTGTGTTGATTACATATAATGATTATAGCTGCACAGTTTTTCAGTTGAAAAAAAGTCACAAATATTTAATATATATATATATATATATATACACATATACACACACACACACACATATATATATATGTATATATGAAGTCACTTTAGTGCCCACCGACATGGCTGTAAATGGCGTGTTTTGAGTCAGAGGTGGTGGAACTGGTGTGTTGAATCTTTGCACAAGCGAAAGAAGGAAGTGTGGGGGACGAGAGGCTCTCCTGCTCTCTCCCTAGGAGTTCCCAAACAGGTGCCCCCCCCCCCAGCTGTGCTCCTGTGCCGCACATTCTCCGTTTGTGTGTAAGTGCATAAGAAAGCTGATTTGAAGTGTTAACAGGAGGTCGGTCAGGCGTCTGTGGACGGGGTGGTCCGACACGTCACGACTCCCGCGGGGGTGAACGAGGGGCTCGTGGGCAAGGCGAAGGTGCTAGTTGTTCTCAAAAAGGGAGAGGAGGTCGTCGTTGCTGTTGGTGGGAAGGTCGGGGGGGTCCAGGTACGAGAGCAGCTCTTCTGGATTCGCCAGTTCGGGAAGCAACTGTGCACGAAAGGCAGAAAAAAACAAAAACATGATTTCTTTTGTTCTTTTTTTCAAGGAAGGCAAATTTACCTTTTCTAGTGACTTCATATGAAGTGTTGATTTTATTTATTAACCTTTATTTAACCAGGAAGATCCCATTGAGATTAAAAACCTCTTTTTCAAGGGAGACCTGGCCAAGATAGGCAGCAGCAGATGTCTCACAGTTACAGAAATTACTCAAACACAGGCAGCAACAACACACATGCAACAATAAGTGAAAGAATACAAATAAAATAAAAAATAAAATTCAATAAAATTCGTCAATCAATAAAGCTGATGCTAGCGTGCATATAAACAGCTACCGCCGAGAGTCAAATGTTAACAGAAAACAGCAGAGAGATGAGAGCAGCTGCGGCAGACAACAGGTCAACAGTTAGCTTACGGCACCCAAAGCAGACACACTTACATCCAGGGAGGGTTCGGGCATATCCTGGGCTCCCTGACCCATCTGCCCATCTGAGGAGGGGTTAAAGTTCAGATCGCTGTGAGGATGACTGTTCTGCCCGGGATGCTGAGGCTGCGGCTGAAGCTGCGACTGGCGAGGCGGGTGCGATGATTGGCCACTGTGATGCAAGGGCTGCCCTGACT